CAATCCATCTCAACCCCGAACCCCGCGATGTCTAACGCTGTGTTGACAAGATATAATAGTTCAAACCGCTCCCCGTCCAACAAGGCATAATCTTCACACCCCCGCTCCAAGATGACAGTTGTCTTAGTTTTTGCAAGCCCCGTTTGCCAGCAGAGGCCGTATCTCGACAAGTGTTAAGGATGCCGGCAACAAGGCCACACTATCGCTTAGTGTCCTCTCTTTTAGCTGGTACCCGCCTCCTCGCAAGGCGTCCCTCACACCTCGCACACTGGATCTTAGTGGCAACCAAAGGTGCATGTTGCCACAGCATCAGATATTGAAACCCCAACATGGCTTCTCGACAGTGAGGCATCTCACCATGTCACAACCGATCTCGACAACCTCTCCCTTCATGCTCCATACGATGGGTCTGACGACATTATTATCGATGATGGTACTGGGTTACACATTTTCAAAATTGGCTCCTCTTCTCTTAAAACATCCTCCCATACATTTAAATTACATGATGTTTTATTTGTTCCTAACATGAAAAAAAAATCTTATTTCCATATCTTAATTTTGCAAATCAAATAATATGTCTATTGAGTTCTTACCATCTTCCTTTCGTGTGAAGGATCTACTGTCAGGGATCCTTTTGTCAGGGGCAACACTGTTAGAAGGACAATCTAAAGATGGTGTGTATGAATGGCTGACTTCGCAACTCGTACCTCGTTTTTCGACCCACTCCAGTGTCAACGTGTCTTCTAGTGTCTGGCATCATCGTCGTGGTCACCCATCCGAGTCAATCCAATATCATATCATCTCTAAATTCGGTCTAACTTTAGATTCATTTAATTCAAAGCAATCTCATTGTAATGATTGTCTTTGCAATAAAATTCATAAACTACCTTTCGCTTAATCATCAATTGTGTCTACTTCTCCTCTGCAAACTATTTATTCTGATGTGTGGACTTCGCCTATTTATTCTATTGATGGTTACAAATACTATATTATTTTCGTAGATCACTTCACTCACTACATATAGCTTTACCCTCTCAAACATAAATCTGATGTCGCCACTATTTTTCCTCGTTTCAAAGCCCTTGTTAAAAATTACTTCAAAAAGAAAATAGTAACCTTCTACTCAGATAATGGGGGGAAATACATGGGTCTCGTCAAATCCACTGGACTGGCGACATATCTATCCACAAATGACATCTCGCATCTCACCTCGCCATCTCACACTCCAGAACATAATGGTTTTTTTGGAATGAAGACACCATTATATTGTTGAAGTGAGTCTTTCCTTTCTCTCTAAAGCTGTCTTACCACTCTCCTTCTGGTCATATGCCTTCTCCGCTGCAGTCTATCTCATAAATCGTCTCCCTACACCCACTCTTCATATGACATCTCCCTTTCATAAACTCCTTAAGTCGCCACCAAACTACTCCAAGCTTCGAGCTTTTGGCTGCTTGCGTTATCCTTGGCTTCGTCCATACTCACCCCACAAACTTGTCAGTCGCTCCACGCCTTATGCCTTCCTTGGCTACTCTCTTACACAGAGTGCTTATATATGTCTTGATCCACAAACTCAAAAGACTTTCATCTCGCGTCATGTTCAATTTGTTGAGTCCGTGTTTCCCATGTCTAAACTCAATCCGCATCTCGCTCGCCCCGATGAGTCGACATATGATACTTGGATCTCACATCATGTCATTCTCCCGGATTCATACACATCATCCGAAGCTTGTTCCAGCGACTCCATGCCCGTCAACTCCAACACACAAACGGATATGGAAGAACATAAAATATTACCTCTCACCCTCCCTCTCCCTCTTCCCAACCCACCTCCAACCTCACCTACCCCCACAAACACCTTGCCTCCATAACTACATGCCCCAATACCTGAACCAGCACCCAGCAATTTGCCAGGCATTCCCCTGGCATTACCCCCACCTATCCAAGTCTCAGACAATCCATTACCACCACATTCGACCCACACCTCACCTATCATCACCCGTTCCCGAAACAACATTCACAAACCTATCAACAAACTTAGCCTCTTTGCTCAACTTGCCATAGATATTAAACCCACATGTGTAACTTAGACTATCAAAGATAGCAAATGGTGACAGGCGATGTCTGAGGAGTTTGATGCCTTGGTTCATAATGGCACCTGGGAATTGGTACCTTCCAATGGTGTGCAAAATATTATGGGGTATAAATGGATCTTTCGACTTAAGCGCTTACCTGATGGCTTTATAGACAGGCACAAAGCTCGCTTAGTGGCAAAGGGGTTTCACCAAAGACCAGGAGTGGACTATCATGAGATGTTTAGTCAGGTTGTAAAGCTGACCATAGTTCGTCTTGTCCTCTCGCTTGCCGTCAGCCGAGGTTGGGATCTTCGTCAACTCGATGTCAACAAATGCCTTCCTACAAGGCACCCTCACTAAAGATGTCTTCATGGCTCAACCTTAAGGTTTTGTTGATGCTGACAACCCACATCACGTCTGTAGATTGCGAAAGGCGATCTACGACCTCAAACAAGCCCCTCGAGCTTGGTACGATGAGCTTCGACAGTTCCTTCTTGCATATCGCTTCTCGAACTCAGTTGCCGACGCCTCCCTATTCATTCTAAATGAAATGGCATCACAATCATGTTACTAGTCTACATTGACGACATCATCATCACATGTAATAATGCAGCATCAGTTCAGAACTTCATCTTGGTGCTCGCACATCGCTTCTCGCTCAAAGACCTTGGACCACTTGACTATTTCCTTGGAGTTGAAGCTGTTTCTCACCCTCAAGGTCTTCTCCTCTCACAACGAAGATACATTGTCGACTTGCTGGCTCGAACAAAGATGACTAATGCTCGTACTGTTACAACTCAACTTGCCACCTCGCCCGTCCTTACACTTCAGTCGGGTACAACCCTTACTATCCCAACTGAATTCTGAGCTATAGTTGGGAGTCTTCAATATCTCTCCCTCACTCGTCCGAATATTGCCTATGTAGTCAATAAACTTTCATAATACATGCATCGTCTGACTATAGACTCTTGGAACGCCACCAAACGACTTCTCCAATATCTGTGTGGCACCATTGATTACGGCATCATGTTATATCGTCAATCACCTCTCGCTCTCCACGCCTACTCAGATGCCGACTGGGCAAGTAACAAAGACGACTTCACATCCACCAGTGCCTACATTATATATCTTGGTCGAAACCCGATATCCTGGAGTTCAAAGAAACAACGAACTGTGGCTCACTTCTCGACGGAAGCCATGTACCGGTCGGTCACTTTGATAGCTGTCGAGTTGAGATGGATCACATCTCTTCTCAGTGAGCTTGGGTTCACATCATCACAACAACCGATAATCTACTGTGATAATGTGGGTGCAACAAATCTCTGCTCCAATCTAGTCTTCCATTCTCGAATGAAATATGTTGCTCTCGACTTTCACTTCATTCGACAACAAGTCCAAGAAGGCATCTTAAGAGTCACTCATGTCTCTTCCACGGACCAACTAGCTGATGCACTCACCAAACCACTACCCCGCACGAGTTTTCATAACTTGCTGATCAAGATTGGTCTCTCCTAAAGGAGCTCCAACTTGCGGAGGCATATTAAGGAATTGCAACCAGACCAGACCAAATGACACGAGACCAGACGAGTCCAGACGAGACGACACCCTTTGTGTCGACACGAAAGGCGGTCTTAGTCGACTTAGTCGACACATCCTACGGAGTCAGTCGACATGCTCTGACGACACCAAACCAGACGAGACGAGACGCGTCCATTCGAGTCGACACCCTTTGAGTCGACACGAAAGGCGGTCTCAGTCGACACGTCATGCGATGTCAGTCGACATCGTCCTGTGATTCTTTCCTTTTGTATGATATGCTGTAAATATCTCGACAGCTTACTTATCCCTTTTAGTTTCAAGAATTATGTAACTAATTAGGTAGTTTTAGATTTTATGTAACTAATTGATTCTCTTGTAATCCTATAAATATCTCCTAATACCAATGAAAAAGGCTACGCCCATTATTCAACAATTTCAATATTTTTACAGAAAATACATATTAGATGCGCAGACCCTGAGGAAAAATGTCTCCAGGAAATATATCCTGAAATAACTTTCTAATCCAAGGAAGAAAATCGGTTTTAGAAAAAAATCAACAGTGTTAGGTAACGTAAGTGACAATCTGAGACTAAAAAAAGAAGGAAAAAGATGGTAAACACTAAACAAACAGACAAAGACCCATGGATACTGTAACACTAGTCAGTAGGTTTTCTGACTCCACACAGTCCTTTATAATTTATTTGCATTATATTAATACAAGCCACAGTATAGTTATCAGTTATGTAAACATTTTTTTTCATTAAAAAAACAGTGCTTTTGGCTATATAAATCCTTCTCTTTTCCTTGCTGTTTCTTGCGCCTCGGTCATCGGACAGTCCCATGATTTTTCTACTGTAGATTTCTTCTTCTTTACTACTGCTAAATTTGAGTTTTCTCCTGCCTGCTCACTTGATGAAAAAACTCTAAGGAAATTTCGCTTTTTTCCTTTCTTTTTATTTTTTTGGGTTTTTAATACTAGCTTATGTTGAAGAAACTAAACCCGGTGACCCAGAATCCAATTTCTCCAAAAAATTTCCTCAAAGTCCGAATCCTTTAATGGGGTTATCCGCTGATCCTGATGCTCCTTGCTCAAATCTGAAAGATTCCATCTCGCCCTCTGAATTCTAATATTCAAGGGCTTTTCTTCCATTGTAAGTCAAGTTTGCATCTTGCTCGGCATTTTAAATCTTCACAAAAGAAAATTCTTTCCTTACACTCTGCTGCTTTAAAGCTTCAAAAATTTCTTCAGGAAATTAATGGTGATGAAGGAAGAGGAACCGTGCGGGCCCCACCGTGCTTCCGCCGCCGGCGAGAGCGACGGCTCTGTTTCTGCGCGACGGTCCCGACCGACAGGATCGTGGCAGCTCGCCCATCAATTAGAAGCTGTAACGGACGAGCTACGACGAGTTCCGATGCTCGGGGGCTTCGAGCAACGAGATCGATGGCGTCGATGAGCTCTGCAGGAGTTCCTGCGCGTCCGACTGCTCGTCGGAGGTTGATTTGGAGCGCGGGAGTCCGGAGGCAAAGGCGAATCTGGAGAAAACTGAGAAGGATTGCAGAATCTGTCACCTAGGGTTGGAGAGCAACGCGCCGGAGTCGGGGATCGCCATCGTGTTGGGTTGTTCTTGTAAGGATGATTTGGCCGCCGCTCACAAGCAATGTGCTGAGACTTGGTTCAAGATCAGAGGAAACAAGTAAGAAATTAAACATGTTCACCCTGCATTTTCATTTTTTTTAAAATTTTTTTTTTTTAAATTTTGAACTACTGCTTCATGCCCACGACACGCTGATTAAAACCTTGAAATGATTCATGAAAATTACATGTAGAGGCGGCTCGCTCGCTTCTAAGATTATTCCAGATCAAGCACATTATGAAAGCTTGAGCTTCAACGAGAAGAATGTTGTTATTTAAGGGACTGTTGACTAGGGAAAGGAGGAAAAAGGAAAAGCAAAGCACGTTGTGTTGATTAAGAAAAAATAATTGTAACATGTAACAAAAGGATTAGGAGGTAATTATTGGGGATCAAACCGGACGAGAAACGTTAAGAATCCACGGTTGACAACAACATTTCTTAATTAGGGAATCTTTTCCTTCTGATGTTGTTTCAAATATTTAATCATTAAAGGCAATTATGAAACCTGTCCATGACAGAAAAAGCCATAATCTGCAGTGAAGAAGCCAATTGCTTTTAGCGGGTCATCAAGTAAATCTACTATGGGATAAAACATAACAACATTCTTCTCATTGAAATTACTAATTGCAATAATCGAGACAGAATGTATGTTTATAGACCATTTTTGGACACTAAAAGCAAATGCAGTTATATGAATAATACTAACAGTTTCATCCCTTAGCGTTGCCACAATTTCATTTGGTAAACTAACACTATAGTACAATAGTCTTTAGATTATAAATTTTATTTGTGCTAGCATATTATTAGCTCCATTATTGGACCAATGAATCCTTCCTGTACTTGTAATGGTTGAAGCTCCTCATGAGTTTGAATTAATTAGTACAGGTAAAACAATATGCTGATCATAGAAATCACTGCTTTAGTCAAGGATTCCTAACAATTGAAAAGATGAGTTATTGCTGGAAAGTGTACTAAAGTATTATGATTAAATTTCAAGAGGAGTAAAGTTGTAGAATGTGCTTTTCATTTTCCCCCTTTGCTTTTGGCTTCCCTTTTTTTTTGTTACATATATTATTCATATATCATATTCACTATCTTGTGGGGAATATATTAGATGTAGGTTTTGTTTATGAAGAGAACGATCTTTCCTAGTAAAAAAGAAACAGAATTGATTCTCCAAGAAAGATGTATTAATTTTTATTCACCACTGAAGTAATGGCTTACCTCATTCAAAAATACCACTGAATAAAAAAAAGAAAAAAAAAGAAAAAGAAAAACGGAGTATGAGCTTTCAAAGATTGAGTTGCAACTACCATGATGCACATTGTGCGATATGATTCTTGCTGGGGCAAAAGAAGTATACATTTCAAAGAAACCAATAGGACAATATCAAAATAATAACAAAGGCCATGGTTGGATTCAGGTCATAGTGAAATGTGATACTAGGTAGACTAATGCATGATTATATTGTAGTTATTTTAACTGTGGCTGTAGTGCTATATATGGCCTTTTTGCAGTTAGTTATGTTTGTTCATCATTTGTATTTTTCTAACTTAATCAAGAAAAGCTTGCTCACTTGTCCCTTGTTTAACTTAGATAGTATGCTTCATTGATTATATTATATTGTATGTTACTGTTTACTTTATTGAAATTTCTGTTTAGTATTTGTAATGAACAAATTTTCAAATCAGACCCGTTTCAAAAAAAATTTATTTAAACCGGTCCATTTTTTTTTATTTATCAAAACCGACCCGATTTTGTAATTAGCAGCTTAATCACCATCCTAAACAGTCGGGGTTGCCAACCCCGACTATTTAGGAAGGTGTTAAACCCTAATTAGATGCCGTAAACCCTAAAAATTAATGTCCTAAATAGTCGGGGTTGCCAACCCCGACTGTTTAGGAAGGTGATTAAGTAGCTAATTACAAAATCGGGTCGGTTTTGGTAAATAAAAAAAAAGAGGGTCGGTTTTTTTTTAAAAAAAAGGGGAATGGGTCTGTTTTGGAAAATTCTTCTATTTGTAATTAACGTCCGTAATTTATTCAGCATGATTTTGTATTGCATTTGTAAATCTCAATGGGGGAAAAAACTGAACTTTCATTCTCAATAGGGCATAGACCTGAGCCTGATCTGGATAATATTCTTGGTTCGTGTTTGTATACAAATTATTGTTAACTTCCCAATTTAATGAAATCTTGAGAGAGGCAAACAATAATTTACCTGTTAGTATCATCATTTTAGCTACTAAAAGAACCACATGTGCTTATTTCATTGCATATTCATGGATCTTAAAGTAATCACATGGGCCTCATATCGTGAAAGAAATATCGCAATGAAACCTACCCATATCCATTGTATATGCTACTTTTTTCAAATCATGATTTGCCTTTTTTTACCTTGATTGAGAGTTATGAATTTGTTTTAGACCGGTCACTATCTCTAATCGATCTTTATTTATTTCATGCAAATAAAAGCTCTATTCAGCCTGTTTTGTATAACATTTCAGGACATGCGAGATTTGTGGCTCAACAGCAAAGAATGTAGCGGGTGCTGGAGAGACGGAGTTGGTTGAAAGCTCCAATGAAACAAGCATCAACATATCAGTTCCTTCTCAATCCACCGAAGCCCGTAGCTTCTGGCAAGGGCACCGATTCCTCAACTTCTTGCTGGCTTGCATGGTGTTTGCATTCGTCATTTCCTGGCTTTTTCACTTCAACGTCCCTGGCTAATTACCCCCCCACAGAGAAACCACGGTGGCGTCTTCTATGTATAACAGTAAAGCATTGCTCTTGTTCTCAGTTGTTCTTGATCACCCCGTAACGAGCCACTAGAGGGGCGAAGAATTTGCGTTCTCTCGTGTTGGGAGTGAATTCGTTTTGACGGGTGAGTTTGTTTCGGTGATTCTACGGCGAAAAAATTTGAGGTTTTACCTATCCGATCTCACTTGGGTCACTTGTCTCGTTCATACTTGGTTGGGAGGGGGAGATGCTGCATTGATATTTCTGGTCGGTGCAGGGTCAAAATGGGGGAACATGAAACCTGCCAACTTTTATGTATTATGATATATTTGTCTGCGGTTTTCTTGATTTCTTCCTATGACGAATTGTATTTCTCTTTCGAATGAATGGAAATTTTATATCTTCATTTCCATAGTTTTAGAAACTTTAGTTTAGGGTTAAAAAAACGGTAGGTCAAAATTCACGATCTCATGAGCTATAACCCACGACTTGTGGCTATTTCTATTTGTTTCTATCCATTGGCAAATAGTTTTGAGGAGTCTAAATTTTAGAATTTCATGAGTTATATAACACACAATTTGTGACTATTTTTAGTTTTTTTTACCTATTAGAAAATAATTTCGCAGAATCCAAAATTTATAATTTAATAAACTATGACCAATTATTGTTGAACATTCTTAGTTATTCTGACACATTTGTAAATAATTTCATTGACATCAAAATCCATGCTTTCATAATCTATAACCAATGATTTTTAGTCATTTTTAGTCATTCCGATACATTGGAAAAAAAAAATCATAATTTGGCCATTTTCAATTGTTTCGAGCCATAGACAAATAATTGTGTAGAGGACAAAATTCATGATTTTATGAGCTTAGCCCACATTTTTTTGTGGTTTTTAGTACAGATTCATTAGAAAATAGTTTTCCAGAGGCCGAAATTCAGGATTCTATGAGCTATAACCCACGATTTGTGATCATTTTTTATTGTTGTTACCCAATATAAAATAATTTTGCGCAATTTAAAATTTACTATTTCATTAGCTATAACCATGATTATTTGGCCATTTTTAGACGATCTTATCCATTGACAAATAACTTCAGTGAGGCCAAAATTCATGATTTCATGATCTATAACATTTGTTCTTCTGACCATTTGTAGTCATTTCGAGCCACTGGCAGATAACCTCATGGAGGCTAAAATTCAGTATTTCATTAATTATAACCTATAATTTTTTACTATCTTTTGTCATTATAACTCATTAGAAAATAACTTCGCGATATCCTAAATTCATAATTTCATGAGCTATAACCAATAACTTCCGACCATTTTTAGTTGTCCCAAGCTATTAGCAAATAATTTCACGGAGGCAGAAATTCATAATTTTATGGGCTATAGCCCAAGGCTTTTGGCTAAGTAGTCATTTCTACCCATTGACAAATAATTTTGCAGAATAAAAAATTCAGGATATAATGAGCTATAACCATGATTGTGGTCATATTTAACCATTTCTACCTATTAGAATTAATTGCACAGAGTCCAAAGTTCACGATTTCATGAGCTACGACCCACGATTTGTAGCCAGTTTAGTCGTTCCTACCTATTGATAAATAATTTTATATAGTGACCAAATTCATGATTTCATGAGCTATAAACCATGTTATTTTGATGATTTTTGGTCGTTCTGACCCATTAACAAACAATTTCATAGAGGCTAAAATTTAGGATTTCATGAACTATATAACCCACAATCAGATGTGGTGACTGTTATACTTTCTGACCCATTTAAAATAAGTTTTTTGGAGCCAAAATTCATGATCTATAGGCGAAATTGCCATATTGATATTAAAAGTAGTACCCAATGACCAGATTAGTGTTAAGATTATCGACGATGACAACAAGGCATTTAAACTTACACGATGAGCCAATCATGCCCAAAAATATATTTTCTAGCCAATTTTTCCTGCAACCACTCTACAATATGTCACATAATGCTTATGTGGCATATTTATGATAACATGACAGCTATAGTTGGCCTAATTCAAACGATTCGAGAGGTGTATTTTTAAATTAGTATAAAAGCAAATAGGAGTTTTTTAATTTGGGAGCTTCTTCTCCTTCTTCTATCAAATTATGGTTCTTGATTTTATGAGCTAACCTACGATTCGTTGTCATATTTATTCGTTTTGAGCCATTGGCAAAAACTTTTGTGGAGGTCAAAATTTAGTATTTCATGAGCTATACGCCACAATTCTGACCATTTTTTTTATTATTGCTATTGTTAAATGATTTCACGGAAGCCTATATTTAGGATTTCATAAGCAATAACCCACATTTGTAGCCATTTTTATTCATTTTGACTCAGCGGTTTCACGAATGCTAAAATTTAAAATTTTTTGAGCTATAACCCTCGATTTGTGACCATTTTTATTCATTCCGACCCGTAGAAAAATAATTTCATAGAGGTCAAAAATTATAATTTTATGAGCAATAACCCATAATTTCTGGCTATTTTTAGTCATTCCAATCCATTAGCAAATAATTTTATGGGTTCCAAATTTTATGATTTCATGAATTATAACCCATAATTTTTGGTCATTTTTAGTCATTTTGATACATTGGCAAACAATTTCATTAAGGCTAAAATTTAGAATTTCATGAGCTATATCTCATGATTTGTGACGATTTCTATTCATTGCGACCCAATAGCAAACTATTACTCTAGTGGCCAAAATTCAAGATCTCATAAGCTATAATCCATAATTTCTGATCATTTTTAATTTTTTGATGCATTGGAAAATAACTTTACTGTTAAAATTCATGATTTCATGAGCTATGACTCATAAGTTCTGACCATTTTTAGACTATGTGCAGCAGGAAGGGAAAGTGACAATTTTTGCATGCAGCAGCTAGGGAAGAGGGTAGGGAAAATTCTAAACTTGTGCAGATGGGGAAAAATTTCCCTTCGGTGAAATTTTATGAAAAGCAAATGAATGGGTCCCACAAGCTACATAAAAAAAACAAAAAATAAAAATAAAAAGAGGTGGTCCAATGGGAGAGGGGTATATGTTTATGAAAAAAAATGTTGGTGTGATGTTGGTGTGATGTGGTATTGGTGGGTCCCAAATAAAGTAAAAATGTTTATGAAAAACTAGCTGCTGCAGAGTTGATAGGAAAATAGGTATTATTGAATTATGTGGTGGGAGAATAAAGTGATGTGGCAGGAGAGAGAGGGTAAAAATTTGCCTACCTGCTGGAGATGGTCTTAGTAGTTCTGAGCCATTGGCAGATAATTTGGCAGAAGCTAAAATTCACGATTTTAATGAGTTGTAACCAATGATTTTTGGCTATTTTTTTTATTGCTTCTACCTTTTGGAATATAATTTTGCGGAGTCTCAAATTTATAATTTCATAAGGTATAACTCATGTATTTTGGTCATTTTTAGTTGTTCTGATCTATTTATAAATAAAATTTAAGAATTCATGAGCTATAACCCACGATTTTTGACTATTTTTTAATTATCTTGAGTCATTCGCAAATAATTTTAAAGAGACCAAAATTCACGATATTTGGCTATATTTAATTCTTTAGACCCATTGGAGAATAATTTCGTGGAGGCCGAAATTCATAATTTTTTGAGTTATAACTCATGATTTCTGGTCATTTTTAGTCGTCCTGAGCCATTAGCAATAATTTCGCGGAGTCTAAAATTCACAAGCTCATGAGCTTTAACCCATTGGCAAATACTTTCTGCGAAATCCAAAATTCAGGATTTCATGCTATAACCAATGATTTGTGGTTATTTTTTATTGTTTCTATCTTTTGGAATATAATCTTGCAAAATTTAAAATTCATGATTTCATAAGTTGTAATCCCTGATTTGTGGTCATTTTTCATCATTCCTACATATTAGAAAATAATTTTGCATAGGCGAAAACCTATGATTTTATGAGCTATAACGCATGATTTTGACCATTTTTAGTCGGTTACTCATTGGCAAACAATTTTGATAAGGGAATAATTCTGGATTTCATGAGCTATAATCCATGATTTGTGCCCATTTTTAGTTGTTTCTACGCATCGATAAATAATTTCACGTGGTTCAAAATTTATAATTTCATGAGCTATAACCCATGATTTGTGACCATTTTAGTGAACCGTATGTTTCAGATAATACACAAATGACAAAAGAACCCCATTATCTTTGAGCTAATAACCCACGATTTGTAGGCATAATCATCAGGTCATCATTGATGCTAAAAATTGTCACAAAACCATAACCACAATCACTATGCCTTTATTAACTTAGAGCATCTCCAACAACTTCCCCATTTCTCACTTTTGAAGAATTTAGTTAGGTTTTTGGCCCAACAGATTCCCCATCTTATTCCCTAAAATAGGGTGGAGGAGACAAAATGGGGAAGCTTCCCCAAATCTGTAGCATTCTTCAAATTTTTGGAGGAAAAAATGGATTCTTTAAAATGGGGAAGCTGTTGGAGTTGATGTAAAAATTAGTTGGAGAATATGACTTTTGCTTCCCCATTTTAGAGAAAATTTTGGAGAAACTGTTGGAGATGCTCTTAGATGGTCTGCATATATCGTTCTTTTGGAATCACCGAAAAAAAACTAATAGAAAAAGTTGGGAGTATGAGCTTTTTGTAACAACCACTTTATCTTTTAATTTAGCTGGCTGGAATACCTTTGGGGTATTCCATCCTTTTTCTTAAAAAAAAACTAATAGAAAAAAATAATAAGTTACTACTTCTAGAGAAAGTACCTCTGTACCTTCAATAACTTTTGCAGAAGAACACCAATATCTTTTGTGCGAGTTACACCAAACCCCCAATAACTTTCAAAATGTCTTTTCATACTGTTTTCTGGTTCTAATTTATGGGGGGTTATCCGCAAAATGCATGAATTTTCTGGGTGTTTTCTGCGAGACATAAAAAATATTGGGGGTCTAGTGTGACTTTTGAGGGGTCATTGGGGTTTGCTGTAAAATGTTGAAAGTTCATGCGGGCTCAGCGTAATTTACACTTTTATTTACTCATCCAAACATGCAGAAGATCAGGCAGAGATACCATCAACATTCAAAATGTTCTGCATTTCATTCATCATCGTTTAGGGGAGAGCTCAGCTCTCACACATGATCATTATTATCCTCTCTTTCTGGTACTCTAACAGTCTCATCCTTACTTACTTTCACCCTCACGCTCTTGTAGGTATGCCTACTTGCCACAAAGATATACACACAAAGATTCACTGCATTTATACCTGCAAGCAGCCAATAGAATTTATCCAATCTACTCCCATTCAAATCCTTAGCAAACCAACTATTATTCCCTCCTCTTCGCGTCACATTATCCACCAAAGTAATCAACATGCTCCCCAAAAAGTTCGCAACGCCAACATTGCTGAAGTACAATGCCATTCCTAAACTCCTCATATTATCGGGCACTTGATCGTAGAAAAACTCTTGCAATCCTACTATGGTGAATCCATCAGCCAACCCCATTATCATGAATTGAGGAAATAACCGAAATATGCTCATAAAAGCTCCATCTTCTAGTCTCTCGTTCTCGATAATGCCAGCCACAATCATAGCTGTGATTGAGAATACCATACCGATGCCTATCCTTTGTAGTATACTAATTCCTCTATCTTTTCTTTTGATTCGCCTTAGGCAGGGTTCTAAGATTTTGTCGAAGAAAATAATGGTGATGATCATGCTGATTGCGAGGAGGGAGAATAATGAAGCTGGGGGGATATTGAAGCCCGTCGATATCTTTGTGTTCCCAATGCTTGCTTGTTTGATGAAGAGGGGGGTTTCTGCAAAAGATATGTTGAATGCTAAGGAAGTGAGCCATATAGGAATTATGGACAGAATCAGTTTCATCTCCTCTACTTGGGTTACACTGGATAATCTCCATCTATTTAATTTCTCTGCTTCAAACGCAATATTGTCATATTGATGCTCAATAATCGCAGCTTTTTCAAGGAATCTGCAAGCAAGTTACGTATGTTAGTTAGCTAGTTATCTCAATAAGATCTTATTCAACCAGTTCATACATATTAGGGTAAACTTTCACAGTACCCCCTGGAGTTTGGTGTGTTCTGCACAAACCAACAACCTTAACTTTAAGGATAGAGGGAAAAAAACACTGACAACTAAATGGTGTTAACGTGACGAGTAAAAAGCCTAAACTACTCTTATTATTATCAACTCCAAAAAAAATCCCATCTCAGTAAAATTGAAGAGTACATGAGGGGAAATTTTGTCAAAAGCATCTCAAGTGCGAAGCATATGACAGCTTAAACTAGTAGGAAACTAGTTCCAGGGATTTTCTCTAATTTCTAAAATTTAGGTGGTTCTGTGAAATTTACCCTATATTCCTCACCTGAAGCGATCAGTATGGCACAGGAGTCTCCTGTCACATTTTGCAGGCTCAGCAACCTCATAAAGATGTTTGGCATCTGAAGGAAGAACAAGATGTCTCTTTGACATTGCAGCAACTAAAACCTGTATCAAAGGTGTTAAGGGACTACCCTTTGGATGTTGATACCGATAATATTTCCTCCCAAAAATGAAGACAGAGAAACTTATGAACATAACCAAAGCCATAAAACTATAGCCAAACCCCCAGCTGACATTATCTTCAACATATGAAATGACTGTAACGCCGAGCAACATTCCACTGCATAACCCAAAATTCCACCAGTCGAAAAAAGACATCTTCTTCTTTCTCTCATTGATATGAGATTCATCAAATTGGTCAGCGCCGAAACTTTGGATCCCAGGTTTGTAGCCTCCGCTAGCGATCGAGGTCATGAACATTGCGATATAAAAGACCACTTTGTGCAGGTTGAGAGATTTGGTGGGTTTCAGACTCGGGATAAATTGAGACATGGATAGGAGAAATAAACCCTGTACAAAAATTATGATTAGCTAATATATCTGTTATCTCAGAATCCAAAATGTTTGGCATTGTATTTGCAATTTCTTGAATGCAACATTTCAAACTAAAAGGATCTTAGCATTAAGTTCACAAATTTTGGATGGCTAATCTCTGAAAGTGCAACTGATACTAACAGTATTTGAGCGCACAAAAACTACGCATTGTGAGGATGCATGCACGGCTAGTGTGAAAAACAAACATAGATTTGCAAGTTGGGACACATGGTTTTTCCAAAAGGGTTAATTGCACAATGCACATATGCCCCCTTGTATGATCGTTGTTTTGAACTTTGTTGCAGATATAACCCCTGGTTCTTTTTTATTTTTTACTCTTTTACCCTGAGAGAAATTTTTTTGACATATATTGCCCCAGGATGAAATTAGTCAGAAAAGAAATAGAAAATTTAAACTTGTGGGGTATATGTGCTACAACTAAACTATAGGGCTAGTGGTTAAAAACAGCAATGCTACGGGGGGGTGTGTGCAATTAACCCTTTCCATAATGATTGGGAAAGGTGCACATGCCCCTCACTCTACCATTCATTTTAACATACACGTGCACAGAGGAAGGAAAAAAAACTACCGCTAGATAGATGGCTGAGGAAAGAAGAACCATGTAGAATCTCCCGAGATAAGTATCCGCGATAAATCCTCCAATGAGCGGTGTCATAGTTGAAACTCCTCCCCAGTAGTTCACATTCTTGGCTGCAGTCTTCAAATCTTGATGCAATACTTTTGTAAGGTAAATGATCAGGTTAGAACTCAGTCCAAATGCACAAAGCTTCTCAGCAAACTCAAACACTGTACGAAAATCAAATTTTAGAGAAACAGTTTTAGTGATTCATAAGAATATGGCAGACAGAGGATGGGTCTGTCTATATGCCCCTTGATTTTACCTATGATGAAGAATGAAGCTTTCCAGACTCCAGTAAAAGCTCTTAGAGGAGTGTTTCCTCTATGATCAACAGATGAATCACGGACCCATTTCTCGTTATCGTCTTCAAGCTCTTCTCTTCTTCTGATCTCCATAGATTATGAAGTTTGAATGATTTTCCTTTTTTGTGGAGAATACTCTTCAAGCATGTATATATATGGTACTACCCACAGATGCCTAATCTTAGAATCCGACATGTATTATGAGGTCAACTGAACTATAACAGAGTTAGAAGTGTATTGTGTTTAATTAAATAGGGGAATCAAATAATGGGGCTACTTTATGACCGTTCTACTTAACACTGTCCGTCCTTTATGGAAATTTTTTTGAAAGGAATAAATCGTGTAACTAGAGAGCATAACTTCATATTAACTCATATTTTGTAATTAAAGCTCATGTTATAGAGTCCAAAGGTTAATGGCATGCTTTAAAAAGTTCACGGATGCAAAAGAGAATAGCATCATCTGCATTCGAAAGCAACCCGCGTGTTGACCCTTTGCTCGATAATGACTGCTTTATCGAGAAACCTGACATAAAAATATTACTCCCTTAGTATACGAGAAAATAGATCCAGTCATAAATAGAATAACGCATGGTTCAAGTGTAGGTGATCTCTTATAAACTTTTACATTCAATCCATAGCTTACCGCAATTTATAAGTCTTCTTGGTATATACCTACATTGTGGTTCATCCACTACCTGAACTTGATCAATGCGCTTACAGGTGTCAAACTTGATCAGAATCCAATTCTACACAAAAGAAATCTACAAATATCAGGAGTTAGATGCTTTGTTATTTATTCTCTACTCCTAGAGATAACATTGTTTAAGAGAAGGCCATTTGTGATAATTTCTCAATAGCATCTGGGCCTTTACCTGATGCTCTTCTTGGTATATACGTAAATTGTGGTTCAACCACTTCCTGACTCATATACCCCTTTTTCTACATCACCTTCCAACTCTTTTCTCTAGTTCATCGATTCATTATTACAGCAGTTCTTCAGTTAGCTAGGATCAAAACATGAGGATGTACTTATCAGCAGCTTCAGTATCAGAAAATAAAACGTGATTGTTCTTCGTCTGAAGATAAACATAACAACAAGTTCAATTGCTTTCATGTTTGATTTGAGATTGGAAGGATGAAATAAAGGTGCTATAATTGAGAGGACATATTAGTGATGATAATGATGCAATCATCACACTGTGAGTGCAAGTAGTAGTCGTTATTGCACGGCGTTCCTTAATTTTCTGTGTACATAATGCATTAATCCACTACCTACCTTTCTAGCAGATTGACCTCCCATTGTTTGGAACGGAGTACAAATTTTATCAGAACATATGCCTGCATACATAGGGTGATATATAACCTACTTCAGATCATGTGCACATCCAGTACAAGCAGTATGCGTCTACAACATAATTGTACTAATCATAAAAAAGAAAAGTACAGGTACATTTCATAAAGCATGGCACAAGTATCATTTATTCAAAAATATAGTATCAAGTATGCAGTAAACAAAAAAAGTTATTACAACATTAGCAATAATAATTCATACAAAATAGGGGAAAACAAATCTAGTAGTTACTGTGTTTAGAATGCTTCAATGCTCTTTGGACACAAGAAGAGCTAGAAACCATCTGCACTACAAAAGTAGTCTATCATTTGATCTCTCGCCGGTAAAACAACAACCTACCTAAAACCACAAACACCAAAAATAATCTACATGTTGATCTCTTCCTTGTTTGGTTTCTCTCTTCCTTTGTAAAATCAACAACCTAAGTAGAACAGCAACCCCCTCTTGGACCAGCAGAATCAGAAACATTAATGGTTGTCCCTTGAATAGGAGGAGCAGAGCTTGCAGCCTCTTGAGCAGCAAGTGCTTTCTTGCTTATAATGTGGTGAATCTCAGTGAGAATTGTGTGAAATGCATTCTCGACATTGAGCGCTTCTAATGCCGAGGTCTCCAAAAAGGAGAGCCCCTCTTTCTCTGCAAGTATCTGAGCATCCTCAGGAGACACTGCTCTTAGATGATTCAAGTCAGATTTGTTACCGGCCAACATAATGACAATGTTAGAGTCTGCATGGTCTCTAAGTTCACGAAGCCACCTATTGACATTTTCAAAGGTCTGTCGCTTTGTTATGTCATAGACTAAGAGTGCTCCTACTGCACCTCTGTAGTAAGCGCTGGTGATGGCTCGGTACCTCTCTTGACCTGCAGTGTCCCATATCTGAGCCTTGATTGTCTTCCCTTCTATCTGTTGACAGAACAAAAATATTGCAGAAATTGTAGTTAAAAAGCATTTGCAAGGAAACATAAGAACCCTACACGGGTATGGAAACCTTATTACTATCAAGTACCACAACAAAAATGTAAAATATAATTTATATTGAGAAGCAAGTAACCAATAAGAGTCTGCATTGTGGAAATTTATGATTTATATAACAAGTCTGCGATGATGAAGTATTTATATTGAACAAAAAGTAACCAAAAAAATCCTGCATTATGGCATTTCATGATTTGTATAACATCTACAACAATAATACCAGAATGAATGAATTTTCTGGGGGGTTGGGGGAAGAGAGGGAATTATTATGGTTCTATTGAAGAAACTCATGAAGTTGAAGGTTCCACATTCAATCACTTTGGCTTGTGAGCTTTCTCAAACAATTATGTTTTTGTCAGTATCATATTCAGGTTCTTCTAACCAAGATTAACACTCACAGCTGTCAGGTTAAGAGTTTAGAACTGATTTATTATGTTCCTCTGAACTTTTGTGAATTAGCAGACATTTAAACCGTGCAAACTGCACAGATATGGACAAATTTTTAATTGTCTGTTACTTAGATAATATATATGCCATACTACCCTGTAATGTCTTTTCCTTTGACATTGTTTTAGGATTTAATAGAAGCAGAACGTGTAAAAAGTGATTTTTAATAATTCAAGCAAAAGTAAGATGCCTTCGGAGATGGTCCTTAGCTAGAAGCCTATATTGCCTTTACATGCTAATACGTCACTCGTTTCCGCAATGTTTTTATGCATTAAAGTGTCATTAAGCATAAAAGAAGCCTGCCATCCTGACTTCAGCAAATCAAATGAACCCAACCAGTGCCCATGCCCAACGCAGACGGTGGTATCCAAGCAGTTACATTAGCGACTAGTATCATCAGAGTAGAAAATGAGAACTAACTCAAAAGAGTACAATCTTAAAGGCAAACAATAAGAGGCATAAAACAATACGAAACCGTTCAGTCGGAATATCAAGTGAAAAATAACCTTTTAACATCAAGAGTTTTCAATGAATTTCCAAGTAAAAAGGGGCAAAAAAAAAGACTAATAACAAAACCTAGGAGGGTAAATTATGCCACCTCATCAATGTCACTATCGACACACATAATGAATCTGTATAATGCAGCAAAGCTGCAACCATCACATGATTAGAGCACTTGTTCAAGTTATTGAAAAAGAAAACATTAATCCCGTTTCCAACACCACATCTCATGACCATCAGAGGTTTGGAGCAAGATCCTTATGCATATGCATTGAAATCATTCTCCCATCAGAATGGAAATTTCCAGATGGTGAAGCCTTTTGGCTTTAAGCAAACTACCACAAAGCAAGCGAATCACCACAAAGTGAAGAATGTACTGCTACGTACACGATGATGTGCAGAACAACCAAAGAGAAAAATTTTTGCTTTCCTTCTTCCAAAAATGGAAGAGCAGAGAGGAAGCAGGAAGCACCGCAAGTCTAGAAAAGTGCATAAATTAGCAAACATCTAAAGGCATTACACAAATTTTGTGACAAATTTGGTATCATGGGTCTCTTTTATCTGGAGGAAAGGTGAGCCTTTTGTTTCTGATTCATTAAGCCCCGTGGGATTCTGGACAAAAACCGAAGCACGCAGTCAATGAAAGAGAGCTTTTTTAACGAAAGGATGGTCTCAGGATACTAAGCC